TGTGTGTGTGTGTGTGTGTGTGTGTGTGTGTGTGTGTGTGTGTGTGTGTGTGTGTGTGTGTGTGTTTGCCGAGTAGTTGTGTCCCCTGCTGTTCCTCCGTGTGCGTGTGTCAGGCAGACAGCAATCAGAGAAAAAAAGGAGAAACTAATCATAAGCAGGGGGGGGATTTACAGTTCCAGGGGAGCTGCTTGTGTGCTAGCTGGCGGCCAGAAAGCTCCAGCTTTTCTTTTTCTTTTTTGAAGTTTTTCCTATTCTTTTTTAATTCTTTTTCTGTCCTTTTCTTTCTTTCCTTTTCTTTCTTTCCTTTTCTTTCTTTTTCTCTCTAATGAGACCCACTGCGAGAGGCGACAGAGCATGCGGTCCACGAATAATGGAAGAGAAGGGGAGCGCGCACACACACACACACACACACACACACACACACACACACACACACACACACACACACACACACAAAAGGCGAATGGCAAAGTAGTTAGGGGAGGAGAGGGAGATGGAGATGGTGAGGAGACAGCTGGCATCAACTGTGGGTTGGGCGAGGAAAGGTAGGTGATTGTTGCTGGGAAAAGGCACCAAGGCGTGAGGGCGAGGTGCACGCTCACCTCTCTCTGCGTCCTGAACTGCTCCAGGTCCCGTTCAAGCCTTTGAACGCCGGAGGTTTTGCGACTTGGCCTTTTTAACAAACTGGGTGTCGTCTGCGGCTTCTCTTCCCCGACCGCCTCCCATCTCGATCCGAAGCAGGCACGGATGCAATTGCCCATGATTCTTTTGCGCCCTTCTTAGTTCCACTCTTGCCCTCTTGCCCTCTTGCCCTATGCCCAGCAAGTATACGTTTTTCCTACTCCCACTCGGCGCTTGGCCTCTCCTTGCGACCACGTTTCTTGCTTGTTCCCTTCCTCTCCTTCCACTCTGAGAGCCCGGTCGCTCTCGCCTTTCCTTTCCTTCCCTTCCCTTCCCTTCTGGATCCCTGGCACCTCAGGACGTCTCTTCAGCTCTTCAGCTCTTCAGCTCTTCAGCCGTCTGACGTCAGGACACCTGAGAGATCCACAACAGTACAAAACCCCTTGCGAAATTCTTTACCTAATTTCCTCGCTCTCTGCCATCATCGGTTCTTCCTCCCTTCCTCTCCTCTCCTCTCCTCTACTCTCCTCCTGGATGTCGCCGCCGCCACTTCCACTTCTACTTTCACTCCCGGCTGTGCTTTTGTCTCCTTCGCCTCTCTCTTGCTATCCTCCTCTTTTCTCTTCTTTTCTTCTTTTTTTCTGTTTCGACAACAGTTAATCCTTTTTTTTTCACCTCAGGGGGGGAGGGGGGGGAGGGGGGGAAGGAGGGAATCCCTTCTCACCTCATTTCCTCTCCTTTCTTTAATGAAGCCTTTAAATTTTAAAACAGATACGGCCTTTAGGTATCATCATCATCATCATCATTGGACTGAGAGGCCCCAGGTAATTCAGTTCCGTCAGAATGATTTTATTCTCTCTCTCTTTTTTTCTGAAATTATCTGGATTCGAACCTGAATCTGTATTTCAACAGTTCAGGGGGTGTACCAACTGTGCTAGGCCCGTTGATCTCGCCTCATTTCCACTGCTCCTATGAAATACACAGATCCCGCGAGGCCCTATATATATATATATATCGTCACAAACAGAACTGCCCGGTAAACCGTAGGCAGAGAGAGAGAAGAGGACAACAAACGAGGGGCTGTGACAAACTGTTTCGTCGGAGTTTCACCGACTCATATATATATATATATGTATATGTGTGTGTGTGTCCCGCGTTCTGTGTTTCCTCACCCTCTTGTACAACCAGAGGCCCTCACACTCACTACTTGATTCTCATCTCCGCACACTGCAGTTGTACCTCAGTCAGCATTTCCAGATCCATCAGCCGCTCCATCTCCGGTCACCGGGCGACGACTGACCAGGTCAGGTGAGTCGCTCAAGAAGCCTGCTGTCAGGTCGCACAGTCGCACAGTCGCTCCCAGATTGCCCACAGGCAGCTCCAGCACATGTCTCTCCTGACTGCGGTGATCACTACATCGCATTCTCCATTCATGCGTGTGTGTCATCCTTGAAAGCGCAGGGGCAATCCGCTAATTACCCTTCTCTGCATCGTTGCAATTTTAACGGATGTCCCTCCCTAAGGACAACGTTCATCGCATTCTACCAGCTGTGAAGTTCAACACCCCGTTTATTTTTTTATTTTTTTTTTTAAATCAACACCCCGTTTGTCTGGGCTCGTCTCATGTCTCTTCTCCGCCCGTTGGATGTCTGTCAAGTCCTTTTATATATATATCGTCACAAACAGAACTGCCCGGTAAAGAGGACAACAAACGATATATATATCGTCACAAACAGAACTGCCCGGTAAAGAGGACAACAAACGAGGGGCTGTGACAAACTGTTTCGTCGGAGTTTCTATATATATATAGCCCTTCTACGGAGCGAAGGGCCGTTTAAACCTGTTGTAACGTGCTTACCTTCTTCCCCCCAATACAACGCCCGGTCATTATAGCTGTATCTAGACTGAAAGATGCCTCAAATAGTACGCCATGGGAGCTGGGCACGCAGCTGAATTGTCAAGTGTTTTTTTTTTTTTTTTTTTTCTGTTTCGGACTTGCCGATATAAGGGATCCGATTTTTTTCTCAGGCATACACAAACCTGGAGTTCTTTTTTTTTTCCAGACTGAATCTTCCCGTAATTGTGGTTGTGCACATCCGCGAAAGCATATAAGCATATAAGCATGAGCGTGAGCCTTCCCTCAGATTTCCAGGTACTCCTCTCGTCTATGAGCTCGTGTCTTGAATCCCGTCTATATTCTCTTGGTAAAGTCGATCTGAGCATGCCCTTAAAAAAAAAAAAAAAAAAAAAAGTCTATTCATCCGGTGCCAGCTGGGTGCGAACGCGGGGTCCGTATTTCAACAGTTTAGTAGTGGTGTAGCCGCTGAGCCAGGGCAGTGGTGCAAGGCCTCTTTTTTTTTTTTTTTTTTTTTTTTTTAAGGCCAATTCATCCCTGCTCAAGCCTCCAACGCAGGGAACATGCGGGAGCTGCACCACCAGCAGGTGGTGCGACGATACCTGCTACAGCAGGTGGGCGATACCGGCCAGGGGTCAGCCGATAGCATCAGGACCTACAGTAGCTTCTTCGATGGGCCAGTCACTGACAATGTGCCTCCCTCCGGTGGTGGTCCCCTCCCCCTATGAATATCAGCAGTCTCCATTCCAGGCTGAGCTCGTGTCTTGACTCCCGTCTATCCTCTTGGTAAAGTCTATCTGCGCGTAATACCGCGTATCATATCAATATCATACGTGTGCAAGGGCCATACGCATCTTCGATATAGGGATCATTCGGATTCATTCCAATTCTGATCTAACGCGTATCCCGAGTTTTTTTTTTTTTATTATATATATATATATATATATATATATATATATCCCGAAATTTTTTAGAAAGAGCCTCTCAAAAAAAAAAAAACAAAAAAAAAACAAAAAAAAAACAAACAAACAAACAAACAAACAAAAGAAAAGAAAAAAAAAGAAAAGAAGAAGAAGAAGAAGAAGAAAGAGCAGCTCTTGCACTTGCCTGTGGCTCGCTCTGTGGCACTGCCTCAGTACTAATTAAATTAAAACAGGACAAGAGTTGAAACTTTGCTGGGCTTGGAAAAAAGGAAAGTCCCTTCTGGGCCAGGGCCCCTTCTATTGGCAGCCAGGGGCCTCAGCCCACTACCGGTAGCCCCCCCCTGTTATTAATCCTAACCCTTGGAGGATGGCTTTCGGACCAGGGGCTAGGTCCCATTTACACGAATTAAGAGATATTGACCGTAGCTAGCACAGATCAACGGTCAGAATCTCGTAATCCGTGCAAGTGGGACCTTGCCCCAGGTGTGGGAGCGGGTGACGGCCACTGCTCGTGGATTCTGGGGGGACTCTTGCGCACGACGTCCCTTTGGCGAAGCTATGAAAACGCGGAAATGTTTTGCCTATGTTCCCTACGCAATTGCACTTTCATCTTTTTAGGATATCTCCTCCCCCTGGTTCAGGGCTACTTACACAAGGATAGCAAAAAAGCAAAACTTGCGTTGCTACTCCCAGTTTGCCGTTCTGCTGTGTTGCCTACTCGGCAGTCACACGGAGGCCAAGTCCCACTAGCAGCGTTGAGCTACCTCAACGCCCGAATCTGGACGCATTTGCCGAGATGTGCAGAAATGGTGTTGAGTTTCCTGAAATGCACGTCTCCGCAAAAGCGTCCGGATTCGGGCGTTGAGGTAGCTCAAACGCTGCTAGTGGGACTTGACTTGGCCCCAGGGGTTGCAGATCGGAAAGGAGAATGCTCACCAATGAGCCTAGCTCAGTGGGTACAACCATGAACTGTTGAAATGCGGACGCAAGTTCGAATCCGGTGATGGAACTTGATGACTACAGCCAAATATTTCTGAAATATTTCTGAATTGCCTGGGTGGGGTCAGCTCAATGATGATATCTGGAGACCGTCACCCTTAGTACCTCCGCCAGGCAAAAGAAATTTGGGAAATCTGGCAGTTTTTCCTAAAAACCCGAAGTTTTCAGGAGTCCCGTGGGGGTCGGCAAGCCTTTAGTTTTGGGACTTGTGGGCTGATTGCAAAAAAAAAAAAAAAAAGAGAGGTAGAGGGTGAGGTCTGGAGGCCATCGGCAAGGGTGACTAGGACTTACCTGGGCCAGCGCGCGCCTGCATTAGAGTCGGGCTGCGCCTGGCCAATTTTTGAGGAGTCCTTTCCTCGAAGGCCAATTTTTGAGGAGTCCGTTCCTCGTGCCTGTTGGCTGGCACGGGTTGCATGGTCGGACTCCACAAAAGATGAAAAAAAACAGAAAAAAAAGAAAAAAACAGAAAAAAAAAAAGAAAAAGGAAGCTGCAGAGTAGAGAGGGAGGGAGTTGGAGAAGGCCGTGAAGGAGGTTTGCTCACAGTGGTACTGTTGGGAACACAGTGCACACAGTGGTGCTATTTGCAACACATCTACCCAGAAACGTAGCTACTTTCACGTCTTAGTTTTTTGTGTTCTCTTTTCATTCTGTTCTGGTGTCCTGCCAACGTGGCAGGATGCATTCCACAGACAGCTGACAACTCTGCAACTTAGAGGCTCGCCACACAGGCTGTCCAAACTCAAAGGGCCTCGCCGCACCACTGTCGAAAATGCTATTTTCGACAGTTCCTCTTCGCCACACAGGCTGTCGAAGTCGGAGACGAGAAAAAAAATTGCAAGTTGTCAGAGAATGCTTCTCGACACCTCCTGTCGAAAGTCGTTGAATCCCCAGCCTGCTACTCCTATGCTTTCGACACTCCTCGGCTGCGCCATCGACTTCGCTTCGAAATTTGGTGAGTGGGGGAAAGGTCGGGATGGACTGATGCTTGTCGTACCCTCAGGAGCGTTCGTCTTTTTTCCATCCTTCTTTCACAAGTGCGTGCACTCTTCAGTGCTGTGTGGCGAAGGGGGGGCAAACTGTTGACTGGAGGCTGTCGAATTTTTTCTGACAGCCGTCGAATTTTTGTGCCTTTCGACAGTGGTGCGGCGAGGCCCAAAGTCGAAACTCTTTTTGAGTTTCGACAGCTGTCAGAAAAATTTCGAAAGTCGGCAGTCGACAGTTTACCCCCCCTTCGCCACACAGGCTGTCGAGGGGCAAGGTTTTTGGTCATATGGCCAAATGGACTCCGCCTTTGGAAAAGGGCACGCGTGTTGTCACGGAACAGTCCCTGACAATGCAAATTCGAACGCGATTCTCGAAAGGCAGGTGGGGTGCTTTCGTCGAATTTCCTCCTCGTCTCCTGCAGGGGGGAGGAAACGAATGGGGGAGGGTGGCTGTCGAGCGTACCATTCTGACACATGTCGAAATTTTTTTGAGCCACAATTCTTCGATCGAAAGTCTGTGTGGCCATGCAAAATTTTTGAAAACGTGGTTTTCGACAGCGCTGTGCGGCAAGCCTCCTAGGGCGCAGTCTCACTTGTACTCCATATTCTG